ATCTGGAATTACAACTTCTTCATCAGCCATGTGAGCATCATAGCGCCCACAGAGTGACTCCTCTCACCATCAGGATTTGATCCATTCGGTCCAGTAACATTTTGGAATTCTAGAAGAGCTGGACAATTAAATAATTTTATCCCCATTCAAGTTAGCAGAGGGCTAAACAGTAAGCCAGCGTAAATTTCTGGTGTGCTTGCTCTATGGGCCAAGTTCCTGTGTTACTGTTCTCAAAATCATTGATGCTGTCTGAAACTCGTGACAGTTTCGCAACAGCACAGTCACTGCATCCTGGGCTTAAAGCCACACAAGATGATTGTGATTGGTTTAAAGAAATACAAACAAACCAGAGTGTTTTTCCCTTTGTGTGGAAACTATGCTAGGGTCAGCCTGGCTATACAAGACAAGTGCATCTCTAGTTGTTTCTCACACGTCTGCACACGTTAAAGATGTTTATAACTTCCTGTGTTTGTGTCCTTCTAGTGCAAAGAAGGAGGCTTCCCTCATGACCTCTGGTTGAGTGTGAGCGCTGAAAATGTGTCTGTCTACAAGAGAGGAGAGCCCAAGCCTCTGGAGACCTTCCCATATGAGCACATCATTTTCTTTGGTGCTCCTCAGCCCTGCACCTACAAGATCACTGTGGATGAGAGAGAAATGCTGTTTGACACACCACAGGTACGTGATCTGTCATGTAGATATTAGATTGTGTGTGTTTGTGAGAGGAAACAGGAGTTCAGAATTTGCCTCCCGTCTCTGCTGACTGTGTTTCATCTGTGCATCTACAGGTAGGAGAGATCACCAAGATCATGAAAGCCTACATAAACATGATTGTGAAGAAACGCTGCAGTGTGAAGTCGGTGTCCAGTTATGGAACCAACTGGATCAGGTGATCAACTTACAGGACTCAAGGTGTACTCAGCTGCAGTACACTCGACACATAACAAGCAAGCAAGGAGAGAAGATACAGAGACGGCAAGAGGAACAAATCACTTCAACAGAGACTGTGTTTCAGAGCTTTTAACTCCATGTAAACAAATTTCATCCAGATAGATTCCTTTCTATAGAGACACAAAAACATGGTTCTTTTGCTCGTGGCAAAAGTGGGAACATTCAAACATCTGCATCGTTTTAAGCTTTACAGTCGTCCCGAGTGCTGCTTCCCTCCACACAGTCTCCCAACCTGATCCTCGCTCTTAATAGTTACACTGGTCATTTCTCACATCTTACTTGAAATGTGTTTCAGGTGTATGTTTGTGGATTTTCTTTTCAAAATATCCAAGAAAACCAAACCTTGCGTCTCACATTTCGAAACAGATATTTATACATCTGAATTTGGACTTTTTAATTTCCAGAATTTTCTTTAATACATCCAGACCAGATAAATGACTGAGTGGTCACCAGATATTACACCCCATTTTAATGAATGTTCTTCTGAATGGAGATCCCCTCAGGTTAGTGTGTAACGTAACTGTCCCAGGGAGATTGTCTCCCTCTTTTTGCCTTATTTAAGTTTTTATTTGAACCATTCTGGACTAAAAGATTCAGTGCAGATGCGGCCTTTCAGGAATGGAATATATATATTCATCCCTATCTTAAAAAAATAAAAAAAATCGCCCCGAATAACCACTGCATCAGTGGAGATGCAACGTCTGTAACCACTGAGTATTTTCTCAAAAGGCACGCAGTATTTGTGCCTCTCTCCTAGAACAAGTACTTTGTGTTGAGCTGTTTTATTGTGTGCTGACTCGAGGGTGTGTTGCTGAAACTGATGTTCAAGGTTTTGAGAAACAGGATGTTGCTTGTGTAGTATGTCTGTGTCTAAAGATAGTTTTACTGTTTTATTCAGTGATGTCAAAGGTCATGTGAGGGTGGGGTATTTATTTATGGAAGTATCCATGGATTGGGAGAATAAGCAGAGTGAAAGAGGTGAGCAGTGTGCTGGAAATGTCCTATTTTGTTTTTTTTCCTATTATTTGTGCATTCAGGGACACAGAAATTTAGATAAATAGACAAGTTGTTCATAACTTACTATTGATTTTCTCCATTTTGTGCCCTGTTTTTAAGCTTTTGTCAACATACAGTAACCGAAGTGTGTTGCCCCTCGACACCCAACATGCTCACATCCTGTTATTAATCTGTTGGATAATTTCTCTCTTCCAGTGTAAATGAACACAAAGGATGCCTATGCCAGTCAACTTACAGTATAGTTCGTGATAATGATCCAAACATAATGAGCTTAGTATTTACCTCACATTGCATCACTGTCTTCCATTGCTCTCCAATCGTACCCACTTAGGCGATCTGGTCAGCTGCCGGCGGCCACACCAGAGACTGATCTTGCCATTGACGATGACTGTATTTCTGAGATTTCTGATTGTTTTGAAGAAGAAGAATCAGAAAATGTTTTATATCAGAATTTAAAGATGCTTTAATAAATTATTGTATTTGAAAATGCTGTTGTGTGTTTTTAATTACCGTCTCATTGTCATGTCTCACAGAGGACAAACGGCCCGTACAGTAAATGTGTTCGCCAACTCTGTGGATCTCCATCTGTGTGCACCAGGTGCCAGACATGAACACATTATGACAGATTATCACAGCTAATACTAATGTGGGTTGAAACACCAAAGTTGGAATTTGTACACAAGCATTTTTGTGTATAAATGAAGAACAAAAAAAAAAACAAAAAACATTGAAATAACCACGTTGTTAAGTTGTGCCACAGCTGACTCTGCACCAGCAGAATGCATTACTGTGAAATCACAACAAATAAAGGACTTATACATCCATAGTGCACCTGCACAGGTGTTTTTACATTATGCCGTCATTATACCTTTAGCATTCTTATTAGTAACCTACATATAGTTTGGTGACATCACATCATTTCTTTAGCCCTGCCCATCATGTGCTGCATTCAAGCACATATGCTGCATTGATGTACTGTTGGCTGAAAGGGAGGAACAGGAAAAACTCCCCTTAACTTGGTGGTATTCATGTGTATTCCAAGATGTTCCCAGTGCTGGCCTTGCTTTCAAACTAAATAAACAGCCTAATGAAATGTATTTATGGTGGATCATTAACAACTGAAAGTACATACAAACATTGCATTGTTCCTTTCAAATGGGCTGAAATTATTCCATTGATGTTAAAATTGGATTTAATTTAAATATAACTACCCAGTGTTGTTTGCCTGTTGCTAGCAGTGTGTTCTTCTGTAGCTCTTTTTAACAAGGTGATGGTCAGTGATAATAATATGGCATATTATAAATATAAACTGCTCTGGAAGATCAGGCATGTGGTTACAGTAACAAATACTGTATTAATATTTATATTTTTACTTTAGAATTTTATGTATGAACATGTTGTAAAGGGCTGGATATTGGAATTTTTGGCTCTTTTGTTATTTTATATGTTATTGTGAGCTAAAGTAGTTTGGATTGAGGTGCAGCAAAGATGTAAAGACAGGAAAAGCCATCATTTATCTAAATTTCATGAACAGGTACCCCCATAAAGTTGTTTTTTAAAGTTGCAACAAATAAGTTATACTCATAAAATATTTATGGACCAATTCTAAATTATATTAATTCATTTTAAAGGGTAATGGATGTAACTCTCCAATAGCTATCAATTATATGACTTTAGACTTGTCAAAATCAAAAAAGACTTACAACTCCAACTGGACTTTAACACCAATGACTTGTGACTTCAATTGGACTTCCATCCATCCATTCATCCATTTTTCCGAGATATGTAATCCCTCCAGTATATTCTGAGTCTGCCTCGGGGCCTCCTACCAGTCCAGTGTGCCCAGATCACCCTTAACAGGAGGTGCCTGTTGGACTTTTGACTTAAAAAAAAACGTGTTACCTTCCCCCAAAGCCAAAGATTAAAAAGTATGTTATTAAAACACTGTGCCATGAATCAGTTCATTTCCTGAATTAACATTGACACTATTTATTCCCAGCAAGTCAACACTTAATTGTCCAGATCCACCAGATGGAGATGCAAGACCTGCCAACTTTGTTTGAGGCGAATATTAACATAGTTTGTGAGCTAATGTGGGTGCTGTGATTGGATGGTACTGGTTAATAGTGCTGTAACAGACTATAGTCTATATTGTATGTCCCTCTTGAGTTGCCATAGGGCAGAGAAAGGGGTGACGTTCTGCTGTTATAGGGGGCCCATGCATGTGTTAAAGTTGTGGTGTAATACTCTGGGGCTCACAATTTATGTATGTATTAATTAATTAATTTATTTTATTTTATTTATTTTTCACAGCTCCAACAGCAACCGCTGCCCATATATTTTTCTTCACACCAAAACTCTCACACATGCATGCTCATAACAGCGGAATGTCACCCCTAAAACTTCCTCTGCCCTACGGCAACTCAAGAGGGACATACAATATAGAGCAGCCTGTATGCTATGAAAGTGAAATATCAACACTCCTTTTTTTAATGATTAAGTTCAGTCACAATTGTTTTAACAGAAAAACACAGTGTTTAAAAAACCTTTCTGAGTTTTGTAAATTTAAAATGGCATTTTGGTGACGTGTGCATGTGTGAGGACCTGAGACTTGACTTGGGACTTGAGTGCAAAGACTTCAGACTTAGTTGTGACTTGTAAATCAAAGACTTGGTCCCACCTCTGAAAATAACACATAATTTTAAGACATTAATAAAGGGCTTTTACAACAATCTGCTTTTAAATGTCTGCAGTTGTAAAAGACAAATAATGCCGAAGGAGGATAAACAGCTTGAGAGATCTGTCACAACCTGGCAACCCATAACACGTTATTATTAATAGCTTAAACCGGATAACCATTGATGAAGTCATTAGTTAAAGCGTGATGGTGCCTCGTTGTCTTCCATCCTCTGGCATCACTAACACATTATTTCAGTGACATGTTTCACTCTGCAGCTGTTTTCATGACACCAGCGTCAGGAGTTCATGACGTCAGCCCTTATGTTTATGAGGCCCACCCTCCAGTTTGAGTCAGAAACCTTTAGTTTGGTCGCTGCTTCCACGCAGTCGATGGCTCTCACTCGTCTCATGATGTCCGGCGCTTACAGAGCTCCAGCTTTTGTATTTGCTCTGATTTTATACGGTGTTATAATAAACACAGAGGCGCAGACAGCCACTCCTGCTCCAGCTCCGGGTGAGTGTGTGTTTTGTTAAAGCTTCAACTGTTGTGCTTTGTTTTATGTTGCAAGACTTGGGTCAGGAGGGTGTCACATGACAGCAGAAAAATGGATTTCCACTCATCATAGGAGCAGAAATAATCTTAATAATTCATGGTAATGGATCCCAAGCAGACTTTGGTCTAGTTTTACTTTTTACAAACTGTGCCTGAATGTGTGAGTCACTGCAAACTGTTGATGATTTATCACTGTGGGCAGAATTTGATTTCCTGTCTTGAGCCTAACACACACTGCAACTTCTCTATTTCAGCTCCCTGTGCCTTAAGATCCAACACCAGCTGTGCTGAATGTCTGCAGAATGTGACAGTGAGTCTCCCAAACTCCAGCCAAACACAAACACTATCATTGTCTTCACTTTTGTTGTGGATGTATTGCTGTAAATATCAAAGATAAGATACTAAGCCCAGTGTTTGTTGCTTCTTTGTTGCAGTGTTTGTGGTGTGAACCTACCAAACTATGTGTTGACTACCCAGTGAGGAGGATCCTGCCCCCCAGGAGTGTGTGTCCACTGAATGATGCACGATGGGGGGTGTGTTGGGGTAAGACTGACCAAACCTTAGGCCTCAGAATACCATGAGTGCCAAACCTGGGTATATATCCTGGAAAAATTTAACAGCATTTTGACTATTGTTTGACTCATTTTTCAAGTGAACATGCCAAACATTTGTCACAGCCTCTCAGTTGTGATTTGCTGCTTTTTTCTGCCTTACTTGAGAGTAAAGAATATCTAAAAGGCTATTTAAAGACATTGCCTTGCTCTTTAGGAAGTTGTGAGGCACTTATCTCTACTTTGACATTTTAGAAATCAAGCAGTTAATCCACCAATAGAAACAATAATCAGGAGAATAATGAAATGATAAGTAAATAAGTAAAATGTATATATATAGAGCTTTTCACAGACGTAGATCACAAAGTGCTTCACAAGGGCAACATATGATAAGAGAGAAATCATAAAGGCAAAGTGACCGTGTGAGCCAAGAAGTAAAAAGGGCACAACTAGCAAAACTTTTTGCACACACAAGGAAAAAAGAGAAGAATTCACATCACGCAACAATGATACACAAAATTTGACAAAGTACAGCTCTGGTACATGCAGGTTTCCCAAACGCCTGTCAAAACAGGTGTGTCTTTAGCTGGCTTTTAGAAGAAACCACAGAGTCAGCAGATCATAAGGGAGCAGGCAGCATATAAAAATTTAGGTGCTACGGCCATAAAAGCTCAATCACCTCGTGTCTTAAGGCGAGTGCCAGGGACAGATAACAAATGTAGCGTATTTGATCGAAGAGAGCAAGCTGAAGAACACAGGTGAAGTAGTTCAGCTACATGAGAGGGAGCCTGACCGTGTAAGCCCTAATGTAGGACTTTTTTCAGGTAAAGTAAATCTTCATAATCAGAATACTCATCTGACTAATTATTAGTGGTGGGAATCACCAGAGGGCCCATGATATTATCATGATACTTAGGTCACATTACATTATTGGATTTTAAACATATACACATGATATGCTTGCCATATGAGTATTTGGTTAACATATATTGGAATATACTGCGATGTAGTACATTTTCTCAAATTCAAATTATGTCTCCAAAGGAAACTATGTCAACATCAGTTTGTTCATATCACTTCACTCATTTTTATCGGCACAAAATGTATCTAGTGGACTGAAAAAGCAACTCATTTTATTTCTCAAGTAGGCTACCAAAAGCTCGATTTGTATTTGCAATATTAATCATTTTTCAATTTTAAAAATTCCATACTTAGCATCTATGTATTGACACAATAATGCCACACAAAATAAGGACAATACTATGCTGTATTGATTTTCTCTACCAGTCCTACTAATTATGGTGCTTATTCTCTGCAGAAGAAGCAAAAACAACTTCAAACTGGCCAAAATTTCTTGTTCCTTAAGTCCTCAAATCTAAAAGGGGCGGTGCTGTCTATTTAATAGGATTTATAATATGATGCATGGCTTATCATTGACTTATTTCCAGTGTTTTCTTTTTCTCTGTGTGTCTGCCTTTTGATTTCCAGTCAACTTCCAGATTTTGATCATCACCATGTCCGTGCTGGGGGGCATCATCATCATCGCCATCCTCCTTTGCTGCCTCTGCTGCTGCTGCAAGTGTGAAAGACATGGGTGAGCTTTAAGTGTAGTCACGTGAAGCGTTGGCTGTGAAGTCTGGGTCGACGTGGAAGGAGGAGGACGGGGGAAACACAATGGGGTTGTTTTTCCTGCGAGGCCAGGCTGACACCGCCGTCTCCAAAAGCCTGCCAGAATTTGTAACTGCAGCTTAGCTCTGAAAATAACATTGATCTTTCTATTTAGATGTGGGCTAGCCTCCTCTAGAAACTTGGTAATCTAAAGATGCTTTTTGGATGAGGAGACTGATATATATTGTAAGTTTATTAGACTGATTTACTTGTGCTGTATTAAGCGAAAAGCAAAGCATATCAGGCTTTTAGTCACATTGTTGTCATTTATATTGTAATGAAACTTTTATTTACATGACGAGGATGAATGTCAATATATTTACAATATATTTATTCTTATATTCTAGGAACAGTAGAGAAGATGCAAAGGTGGAGCGACAAAACCGAGCAAGGAAGACCCGTCAGAAAGCAAAGTAAATGGCTGCTGAGGAGGGGATCTGAAAATAATTTATTTAGCTATATATTCAGATAAAAACACACACAACTTTGCTGTCGTCTCATTAATGATGCAGATAGATTTTGTATTAATGTTTTTGTATTTTAACGTGGCAGATTTGTAAAATTTGACAGAGTTTGGTATACACCATCATCACATTACAGCAGTACTTTGTGTCGATCCTTCAGTGAGGATTCAAACAGTGTAGGCTTGAGTGCGTCCAGTGTTCTCCATCGTCCCAACAATTTGTCTTTGTTTCTGCCCCTACAGGAGAAATGAGATGCAGATGAGACATGATGAAATCAGGAAGAAATATGGTGAGATAAATTTCTTGTTTGTGTGGTTTGAGTGGGTTAATAAATGCAAATGTTGGAATATCAAAGATGCTTGTGCTCGAGATGCTTGGTTTACATGCACACAGTGATAAAACAGGAGCTAAATGAATGTGTAAAGGGGAATGGGAAAGATAAGAGGATGAGATTATGATACCTGAGCAGATGAAACAATAGGGAAACAGAAGTATTCATGAATTGAGAGAAAGAAGTGAAATAAAAACAACTAATTTGATCCAGTAGCTCCCTCTAGAGGATAAACTGATACACTAGGATTCAATTCCAAGGTGATTTTGTTGTTAAATTATATGCAACAGTCAAAACACTCACTAATCTGTATATGTCCTGTTCCTAATTCAGTCACGTGCAGCCATACAATGGGACATATGACTTGTGTTCTGTTGTTCTTTTCAGGTATAGCAAAGGATAATCCATACGCCCGTATGGACGATCATTGAGAAGAACATCAGAGATGATTCCTTAAAAAAATCCCTTAAGATGATTTTACTGATGCCAGTAACATTGAGATCCACATGTAGCATGAGAAACTGTGATTATCTGAGTTCAGTGTTTGCCCCAAAATGTCCCCGAGATGTTCTGAAATTATTTTGACTGAGTGTGCACTATATTTCAAACATGTTTCTTCACCTAATGATTCACATTTTATACACATTGCTCTCTGCATTTATGCCTTATCAATATTTCTTTTGCCTTAATTTTGATGTAAATGACTGTAGGAGAATCTGTTCAGTTCACTTGAACCATGATTTGCAAACATGACTGTGTTATTCTGCATAAAATGCAGTATTGTAAGATTTCTACAACTCCAGAGCAAGTCATAGCTTGTGGTGCTTCTTTTATAACCAGCAGTGTCATTTTTATACAGTATTTGTAATGCACATTATTTTACTGATCACCAGTCATGTCTAAAGGTCAGCATTTATTTTTATATAAAAAGTTCATTTATAACATGTAACTAATTTTACACTGTTCTCTTGGCTTTTTTATCTGTGGATGAATATCAGGATCAGAATTTGTTTCAGAATTTTCTTGGATAGAAGAAATGTGTGTTGTTAAAATCCATGTGAAGATTTGATTATTGTGCAGCTGTTGTTAAAAACAACTTGTGGCCATTTGAAAATTAAATAAATATGAATTTTCTTTTGTGACTCTAATTGTAAATCAATTCCACAAGTGGAAATATTTTTCTGCCCTATTCACATATCTGCAGCATGCTTTCTGAAATCTATCACTCTACTAAAAAGGATATATAACCAAAAGAGAGACCAGTTTTAATGATGGAAAATGCTAATTTGGATGAGCCTTGCTTCAAAATCCTTTGAGACATGATTTTGTTTTTGAGAGGTGCTTTGGAGATAATCCCAAGAGTAAGAAATGTTTATCCTGATACCTGGAATATTGCCTCGACCTTATATAATAGAGAGGATCTGCTCTCTCAAAGGAGAACGCCACCTACATTAAGAATTCCAATATGTTATTTCCGTGGCAGAGGGAGGTCAATCAATATTTGTGAACATGAGCTGCTCTCTCTCAAAGCCAGAAACCACAGAAGGAATTCTCAGAGACTTGTGATGTCATAGGGTACAAAGTCTGGAGCTGCTCCATAGACAATGGAAGGGAGACTGATTTTATGCACCCACGGTTTGTTTTCTATTTTCATAACCAAATGTATTTTATTCTACTGAAGTGTTGAGACAGCAATGGAAATAGTTTGTCTTTCAGTTACAAGTATTCAACTTTCCACTGCTCCTGGAAGCCGCTGCCCTTGCTGTCACTTCTTTGCTGTGTACATATGCGGCCTAGCAGGAAATATCTGTTGGTAGTTAACCATTTGTTTGCTTATTTACTTTCTGTTTATAAAAATCTATTAGTTCCACATGCGTAGTTCCTACTTGGTGCATGCCTACAAACTGTATTAGTACTCACCCCTTTCACCACCTGTGCACACTGCTGCCCTCTGACACTAAAGGGCTCAGAAATGCTGCACCTCCAGAGTGAGACACAGTTTTCACCCCACAGCCATACACAAACTGAACTTCCCCAACAACTTTGAATTGCACTACCATGGACTGGACAGATGTACAAAAACTGCATATGCACTTTATCTTGTCCTTTTTGTGGCACCTTATTTATGATATTCATCATATTTTAGCCTTATCCTATTTCAGTGTGTGGGTGTGTGAGTGTTTGTTGAGTGAATGGAGCAGTTTTTCTTTTATGAGAGCAAATGTCATTGTATGTGAACATGCATTCATTCATTCCATTATGAGGTGAACAGAAAATGCAAAGTGAACTAACCTGATTAACCAGCATTGTGGCAGGCCACATATAGTATATTTTGAGATGACTTGCGAGCCATAATTGGGTCCCAGGCCAGACTTTGGACATGCCTGGATTCTTACATTTTCCCAAATCATTATTCATGGAGCAGCTCCAGATTTTATACCATATGATATCACAAATTTGAGTTTTAGCACTCCATTTTTTGGATTCTGGAGAGAGTTGCTCATATTTTTGGACTGTTTTACACCATAGGAATCACATGTATGAATTAAGAAAATGTCTGTACTTGCCCTTTAAACTGAAAGAAAGTGAAAGATTACCATTATATTTCTAGTTGGCTTGTTGTATTTCTGACTCCTACTACAACAGAGTTCAATTTAATAGGTTAACTCTTCGTATTTTTGGTTAAATTCATTTGTTGGGCCCTGGCCTAGGCTCAAGGCCTGCTTTGCAGAAGGCCCTTTTGTTTCACCTATCTCGCGGGCATGCGCAAATTAGCTTGCGCGCTCACGTATCCGCGGCCCCGAGGAAAAGTGGAGCACGTGACCCGTCTGATCGAATCACATTTTAAATTTCAGTGCGCGCTCCTGGTCCAAACGAAAGAGCCGGAGGAACTGATATCCTGCTTCACCGTTAACACTCGGTCTCTGTGTTATAAATTAATCCCCGGGAAAACAGCACAATGTCTGAAGAGAAGCCAAAGGTCAGTACTGTGTTTCTACGACGAAACATCTCGTCTGTATTTGCCCTTAGCTGCTAATGATGCCGGTTGCAAGTTACCGTTAGCACACTCTGCTAAGCTAGCGCCGCTTCCAGGCTACGGATACCGCATTTGAGCGGGTCGACGGAGAAAACAAAGGTTGACCAATTTGCGGATCTTTCGGCTCCAGGCGCAGTTTTGTCTTTGCAGCGTCTCAATAGTGTCGACATCCGCTACTGTTAGCTACTACTTGGTGTACAGTTGAATAAAGATATGTTGGGTAACGTCGGCACCAGGGACGGGCAGTGAAATGAATGATTTGTGCTTTTCCTTTCATTTGCGCCATTGTGGCTGTCTGCGCCAGTTTGAACATGGGCTAGCATGCTAAGCTAACAGAGGGTAGAGCCGACTGTGTGTGTGTGTGTGTGTGTGTGTGTGTGTGTGTGTGTGTGTGTGTGTGTGTGTGTGCGGTGATTGGATGGTATAGCTTGCCGCTGGGACCAAGCTTGTCTCATATATGTAACGTTAGCTAACTTAAGCTAGCTGGCTAGTTAAATTAGCTGCTGATATAGATTAATATCATGCGAGCGGACACCGGCAGATCACCTTGTGGTTACATTAACGTTCATTTAACATTAAATTACCTGGTGGCGCTCGCCTGATACTGTCGGTCTCTTGTAACGGAAGATGTTGAAAACAGGAAGAGGAAACGTTGCTGTCTTACTAATGATTTTTTTCATCAATTAATCAAATCAACAATACATCTCCATCCTGTTATTTTTCATCTTATCTGTGTGTGAGCAAAATGTGGTCGCCAGCAGGATTCACTTTGAATGCCAAAAAGATCAACAGCATGTGGGAGTCGATATTATTCCTGTATGTAAAAAAACGAGCATCTACACGTATCACCACTAACCAGGCCTTTAATGGTACATGCATCCTGCACAGACTGTCATCGCACCTGATTTGTACAACCTACAATATGATGTGTAATATGTGACACCATCCGCAGTGTTGTATTTGCAGTAATCCACCTTTTTAATCACAGTTTAAATTCAGATAAGGCAGGTATGTTGCTGCTGCGGCTGATGAGTGTTTTCATTACAGGAGGGAGTGAAGACGGAGAACGACCACATTAACCTCAAGGTAGCTGGTCAGGATGGCTCAGTTGTACAGTTCAAAATCAAAAGGCATACTCCCCTCAGCAAACTAATGAAGGCGTACTGCGACAGACAGGTGAGCTCATTATGAAAGACTGTAACATTAACAATAGATTTTAACTTCATTACTACTAACACTTGTCTTAATTGATAACACTACTGTTGTTTTTGTTGTTTGGTGATAACTAACTGAATGCAAATCTCACTACAATGTTATTTCTGTCTCTTCTGTCTCTTACAGGGATTGTCACTTCGTCAGATAAGGTTTAGGTTTGATGGACAGCCGATTAACGAAACAGACACACCTGCACAGGTTGGTGAAAGCTGGACTCCTCGAGTATTCTAGTTATGGAGATGATATTGATTGGAGTTCAGAGTATGCGTTTCTCCTAGGTCAATCATGTTTAATTTCTATTTTTGGGTAAATGTGTCAGCACAAGTAATGTCATTGGCCTTTGTACAATTTTTAAGTTTGTCTAGTGTCTGTACTGTAACTCCTCTTGAGCTGAGACTTGTAAAAGGACTTTAATGAAATGGAAAATACTGTTAAGTGTTCTTTAAACCAGATATTCCAAAAATACTTGAATGTTTAAATCAGTATCTTGGTTGTTGATCAAGTTTAAAGGCTTGCATTTAGTGTGATTGATTGGTATCCCTTCTTAATTTGTATAATTTATTTTAGTTCATTTGCACATACATGTTTAGATATTGGGGGGGGGGGGGAATTAAAAGTTAAAACATTGTGCAGGAGAGGTTAGAAGCCAAAAATGGCCCCTTTTTTAAATAACAACAATCACATCAAAACAAAAAAGATAAAAGTGAAGCCTGTGTAATTGAACAAGAGGTCCAGACTAAGAAGTAATATGAACTTTTTAGAGTTGTACAATTTACAGAAAAAAAACATTCAAATAAATTACAAATGAATTAATGAAGCGTTAAGAGAACTGCAAATTAGAGCCCTTTTCAGATGTTTTTTGAATAACTAATGTAGATGATGATTATAGAGATGGAACAAGGCTGTTTCATAGAGACGGTCCTCCTGTATTTCAATGAATAATCACTGAATAGATACAACACTCATGAATGAAGAATGAATTCTTCCATTGTAACTCAGTGTTGAACTCAGGTTAGTGTAGTTAATGCTGAACCACTGATTTTTCCACTTGCTTTGTTATCTACAAGCAAGCTGATGGACATTGTTCCAGTGGTGATTTTTAATGTTTCATCTTCAGGCAGTTTCTCTGTACATATTGTTGCAATGTCTAATTTGTGTTAGACTCATGACAGCGAAGTGAGGGGCATTTTCCCACTGTTAAAACATCCTCACTTCTTGGCCCAGTTGCAGTGATCATATTAAATTAATCAAGCATTTTAGTTGCACAATGTAAGCAATATTCTAACAAATATGTACAGTAATAAAAGAAGAAATAATCATCACAACCCTCTCAATCAGTTTTCTGTGGTAATTTTAATGCCCCCCTCCCTCAAATATGTTTGATCTGTAATGCTTTAGCAAGTAACCCCACCTTTAATCACAACAAGTCATTTTTGTTTGCGTATAGAAGTGTTATTTAGCAGTCTTTAAAGGTGCTGGTAGATGGATTTTGTTTCATCTGACATATTCAGTCTGAGTGTTTCCCTTGTTTCCAGTGTTAATGCTAAGCTAAGCTAATTTCAAGCTGGCCCTATCTTAATTTTTCGTTTTTGCCTTTGCTGTAGAATAATCTATATTTTTTGTTGTTACAGCTGGAGATGGAGGATGAGGACACTATTGATGTATTTCAACAACAGACAGGAGGAGTCTTTTCTTAAGTTGGATGTGGACTCTTGGAAGAACATCCCCCATCATTATTTTCATGTCGTATTTGTTTTTACTTTATTCTTTTTTCCTCCACTGTGCTTGGTCAGGCTGTACACAACATAAAAGAAGTAAGATGGTTTTTCATTTGGGGCTAAATCCTAACTTTGAGATGCAGGGTAATTTTTTAAAAAGTGTTTTATTCACATAAATGGATGATTTGAAATTGTCCAAGGCAGGGACACGTCTCAGATCAGATCTGGCTCGTAATGAAAAGAAACCACTGCGTTCTTTTTGATGTTGAATTGAAATGACCTCATGCATGTCTCATAAACCATAAGCTGAACTACATGCCAAAATCTTTTTTTTTTTTTCTTTTATCTTTTTGTTTAAGTTTTCCAAATTGTCGTGAGCATTTAAATTCAGGGTGGGCTCGACTATTTTTAAATCGTGTACTTGATAGGATAGCTATGGAGGAAATCTGCCGGATGGGAGCCTGTGGTTTCTCTCTGTAGATGGGAATGACATTATGACATATTTCTCATGTAATAAACTTTTAATAGTCTTTTTTTTTTTCCTTCTTCTTTTTTTAAATGGAACATTCAAAATAATTTGGTGTATCCATGCCCAAGAAAACAATGCTTGTGCCGAGAAAGATCCATATGAATGAGTTACCTCAATACTGTCACCCTCGACTCAATGGTAAATAAAGTACAGTAATGTTTCTGGACCAAAAAGCTAAATGAATAGTGTTCTTTTATAAAGGGGTTTGGTTAATATATAACATGTCGATGTAAAGGGTTACCGTGACTGTAACAGTGGTCTTTGTTGTTGCACAGCAGAAGAACCGTTCTCTCAGTGTGTACATTGATTTCTCTCCACCCATTCAGGACTTAAGAATAAAACTAAGTCACCTTTACCAGTGCAGATATTGAGTGTCTCATATATATGTCACCCAGTGTATAGGCGAATATTGAGTCAATGCTGTATTGCCAATTTGAATACATTTGTCCATAATATATCCAAACAGATGCTTAGTTTGTTTGATTCTTGTGTGTTGGTAGAAATCTTGTTTTATAAGAAAATTCACCTTCATTTTAAAAAACTTAACATTTGTTAGATTTGCAGGGCGACATTGACAGATATCCCCCACTTTTTTTTTTTTTTTTATTTGTACATTTGTTGTCCCTATACTGTATACAATAAATATAGTTTGATACTCAGCCTCTTGCATTATATATTCCCTTCCACTTGTGTGGACCTGCTATGAAATGCACAATGCAGGGTGAATGCTTTGAAATATTCACATCTTGGGTGTAAATAAACATGCAACTGTTAAAGGGTTGACTGCGTTTTAAAATCGTTCCTAACCTGGTGGTGGTTTGATTCATGTAACCAGAGGTGCAAAAAAAATTTGGACATTGGTTTAGCTATTGTTGAAGTTAAAGAGTCAATTATTAACAGAGGTTAATCTCAGCACGCCTGTAATTGTGTGGATTGTTTACAGGGTTTCTGCAAATCCTGCAACCTCAAAATGTCCTAAATTCCTTTAGAAAATAGATGTTAGGCCTTAAAATTCCTTAAATAGTCTTCAAGCTGGATTTCTGAGGATTTAATTGCCGCAAACATTTAATTTAAATCCATTTATGCATCTTTTAATTATTATTTTTTGTCAAAATTAGTCAAGCTCTTTTGTCTAAGATTTTCTAATGCAAATATTTAAACTTACCACTGACCCTCTTTCTATATTTTCACTTTATACTTGCACTTGGATGTTGGCGAAATGTAGAAAAACCTAACTCATTCTAATAACCATATTCCCACATAAAACCTACCTCTGTGCTGGGCCACATACATAACCAGCGGTGGGTGAAGTACCTGAAAGCCACACTTGAGTAAAAGTACAGATATATTACCAGAAAATGGCTTTGGTAGAAGTTGAAGTCACATATTAGTATATTGAATAAAAGTCTTAAAGAAACTGATAATTATTATACTTAATTATCAAAAGTAATTTGATGATGTTGAATGTCATTAAGTATTGGAAGTAGAAATACAAGTGAAAGCTGTTAATATAAAAGCAGGTAGTCAGAATTTGGGGACTTCCAAAGTTTATTTCTACCTAAAATGTACACCATCCAAAAAATTGAGTGTACATTACACATGACAACTTAAATGATTTAAGGCAGTGGTACCCAACTGGTGGGTCCTGGTCCAAAAATGGGTCCTGGGTCCATTCTGAATGGGCTGCAAGTGATTTGCGAACATGTCTGGTTTGTGAAAAACACTTTATTTTGAAGTACAGTGAATATCTGGCACAGAGCTTTTACTTTGAAGTGCCATTCCCTGTTGTAGAGTGAGTGACTAACGGACAGCTACTTGACAGAGACAGCAAACTATCTTGAAGACATGGCCAAACGCAAGTATGATGCTGAATATATTGAACTGTGTGGACCAGAAGAAAACTGGACCCCGTTGTTGGACCATTTGGGAATCACTGATTTAAAGAACAAAATCCCGTTTTCCTTCCCTGCAGTTCCTTCATTAGTTTGGCCATCCCTTCCTCCCTGCTTCCTTCTTCCCTTCCCTCCCTGGTAACAAAGATGCTTTGGAGAAATGTAGTGGAGTGAAAGTGAAAGTTGACAGAGATAATCACTTATCTGCAATGCTTGGATAATGACAAGATGATTTGTCCAAAAATCTGTCTTAAATTTTGTTAATAATGATCTTTAAAAGGTCTTAAAGGCACCAAATTTAGGTTTTTGACATCTGTAGACACCCTGGTCTAGTCTTCCTTGAAAAAGATTGTAGAATTAAGCTCAAAAGATGTGTTTAAATTGTGCTTATAATGAGGCAGTCTGGTGCAGAGTGGGCAATACACTTTACATACATTAGAGGGCATTGTTGTTCTGAGGATTCCCAGGATCACTTCTGCATCCACATCTCTACTTGTCTGATTCACTGAAGTCTCCGGCCCTTAAATTAAAACACAAAGACACATTTGTTGCTCCACTTCAGCCTTGTGAGGGCCATAACTCCACGAGTCTTCTCTTACTTAAGAGAACTTGATTTCACAGATGTTACTTAACTGAGCAGCCAAATGAACTCCCTGTGAGGCTCCTCACACAGTGGTTTGATTGTGCTGCCTTTATTTCTGGCATCTCCTTTGCATTTTATATTTCCTTGTGGATATATCTGGAGTCTCTCATATTTCCCCGGACCTCTCAGACACACAGCTGCAAGGTACCCCCTCAACCCATACGTTCAAAAACCTCCTCAGTTTGTATGTATCTACTATAAGAGCACACGGACATGAACTGTAACAGACAAGATTCCAATCAATGCATTACTGTTCTTTTGGTGTGTGCTGTGCGTCATCATCAGCTGTGTCAGGGACGCTTGTAAAGCAGCACATACCCTCATTGTTCCCTGCAGTTAATGGAGAGACGCCTTGTATTATTGTTATGGTTTTAAAGCTCATTCATCATCTTGCTTATGTCAAGCACCGCCCTGCTGTCAGCATACACTGAGGTCGGTTTGCTTATTATTGTAACAAGATGATACAGTAGGTGGATTACTGAGTCCAACTATACAGTCACTTACATTTATAAACAATAAAAATAATTTTCATTTGAGAAACAGATGCCTTGAAGTTTATGTTCACATGAATAACTAATAGCATCTGTGTGTGAAAGAAAGTGGATTTTGGTGATATATAACCGGCAACTGCTTTTTGAAAAATATATGCACATTTTTAAAGCACATTTTTAACAGATAAGACAAGAGCCTTCAGGTGAGCTCTGTTTTGAAGATTGCGTCAAAAACAGATTTAAGATTGTGATGCTGTGCTTAAAGGGACAGTTCACCCCAAAATCAAAAATACATATTTTTCCTCTTACCTGTAGCACTGTTTATTTATCTATGTTTTGCTGTGAATTAAAAAGCATTGGAGATGCTTGACTTTTTCAAATGTATTTTTTGGCACTTTGAGCACCACAAGCTGAGTGCCATCTAGTTCCATTATATCTGAGAGAAGGCAGACATCTCTGTGGCCGGTATCTCCAACACTCTGCAACTCACACCAAAACAATCTAGATTGATAAATAGAATCAGACTACCACACAGAAAACATGGAGTCATGTAATAATCCAGTATAGGAAAACTGTTCACACGCACAGAAAAGGGGGGCAACAAGGGGCCACCTTCTCCTTTCAATGACAGGGCTCTCTGGTAGGTAACGCTGATCATGTTCCTTAAATACACCACCATTTCTTCCCTATTTACTGATCATTCATTGATTAATTGTATTACGGTATATTTTTGTATTCATTTCAACAGGAAACTTTAATGTGTAACAAATAATTAGTGTCATGATAAAAGAAAATGACAGAGTGAACAAAAAATATTACATTAGAGCATAAACATTACTCATTAGGTTATTATCACTAATTATTTGTACACTTTGTTAAACTGAATAATAGTAAACATTTTATATTCCACATCATCTTTCTTCATTTTAGCTCAAATGCTGGATTTATGTGTACAAACTCCTGTTATATAGATATATAATATAGATTTTTAAAAAAAAAAAAAAAACATCCAAACCCAGGTTCTATATGTAGGTCTGAATTCTGATCTTTAAGCTCTGTCCTTTACAGTCACATTTTTGACGTGTTACTGTTCAACCAATCACCAGAATGAGCAGCATCCTGTCAGTAAATAAAATCCATTAAGTGCACAAACATGTTCGGTACATACATTACACAACAGCAGGGGAGGGGTCTTCAGACAGGGCAAATCAGCTTAACTGGGAACACGTAATGATCGTATGAGGTCAGTCAGCCGCGTTTCGCTTCCTCAATGTGTCCAGCCAGCAACCTCAGATGTGACACCCTCCCCCGTCAAATCAGTCCAGAGCAGCCTGAATGAATCCACTGTGCATCTGGAGAACCTCTGGATCGTCTCCAGACTGCTGCATGCTGATGTCACCCTCTTGTGCGTAATGTGGTCCCCACCCTGCCAGCAGATCAGATTTCATCCCAGTGCATGTTGAGATGTTGAGGGACCATACACGTGTCAGTGTCAGTGTTACCATCAAGTTGTTGTTGTACAATAATTCTTACATTTTGAGACTACAAGTAAACACATGTATCAGAGACAGTGGATTTTAGATAACTTTGAGTGATGACGCTTGTTATACAGTCGACATTTTAACTTGTCAGCGTAAGAAAACATCTGTGCTTTTCATGTCATGTCCAAAAGGCCCATTGTTCTCACGCTGGGATGATTTAAAAGTCAAAAATCCTCAGATAATCTGAATAAAAGACCTGTCTGTATTTGCTAAAGGTTTGGTCCCAAGGATATTGCCAGAGGAGAGATGTTAGAGACAAGAGCAGGAGACAGGAAAGGTTAAACTAATCACACATTCCCTCCAAGCAGAGAATTTTATTATAGAAAAAAGATTAAATAAAGACATATATTTCTCAGTAAAAGCATCACAGCCACACTCACAATTAAGCTTAAACTCTATGCAGCAGCCTGCCACCACTTTGATTGCTTTGGTTTTCAAACATGCTTTAACTCAGGATACAACTAATATTAATCATACTGTTTTAAACCACATGTAGTTTGATTTCAGGAGTTGTTAGTGCAGTGCAATTAATGAGGCACTTGTCAAACACAGGTGTAACCAATAATGATCATAATTGCTGCATTCAGGTGTGCAACTTCCGGGATCTTGGTGATGTGCACGTTATCCCACTGCCATGGCTGATTTAATCAGTGTTGTATGTTACACATCTGTGCTCTTCCTGTCATGGCACAGTCAAAATGCTGTGGAAAAGGCAAAACTGTCACTTGAATGGAGTGATTTTAACAATTAGAGTTCAGTTGATAACAAGTAATGATGCACTGACTGGAGTTGCTGGTTTCCACATTCACAAGCCACTTTGGAAAGTACTATCTAATATGACTTTAAAGTAATCACTCGAACTTGGTTACTTGGTTCGTGTAAATATTCTGGTGCAGGCTTGGGTCACATGTGATTTTAGCATTTTAAGTCTTGTGTGTGATTTATACTTTGGGATTTATCCTGGCTTCTTATGAGCAGAGGAACTCTCCACTCGTCATTAGGTAATTTATACGATGGAAAATGCCGTAAGCTTGTGCTAATAACGTTAGCATGTTATATTTGTTTGGAAAATGTGTTTAGTATAAGACATTGTTTTGTCAGTGGATTTTGTGAGCTGTAATGGAGCCGAATTTTGTAATGTTACCTTCGTTAAATGATTCTGTTGTCCCTGCCTTCATATGAGTAGAGGAAAGTCTGCTAGCCGTTAAG